TTTTTTCTTATTAACATGTAAAACTTTTATAAGTCATAGATTTTATGTTTGTGTTCTAGCTCCCTCCCCAGATTGTTCTTTGTGGAGTCTTAAAATCCTCCTTAACTTGAAGCATACGAGCTGGAGGAGTGGATCCGCTATAAGTGACTATTCACCGCGCTCTTGCTCTTCCAAGCAGATTCAGAATCTTGCTAGCAGGCCGAATTTACCCAGAGTGTGTCCCCATTGACCTAAAGTCTTGAAAATAGGAACCAACTTGCGGTTTAATTGTGAAAATTAACATTTTCCTCTAGCCGGCTGAACACTTATGCAGCAATAAAAAGTGAATTGTTAGGCCTATAAATCTTGAGCTTGTCAAATTTTACAACAGAGGAGCAATAAAGCACCTTAGAAGAAACGAAGTTTTTCCTCTAGAGCAGTTCCTTTTCACACCAGGATTTGCGATGACTCGAGGGCGCCCTCTCTTGATAAGAAAATCGAGAGCACCCGTGGACTTACGGAACAAGATGGGTGGTGAAGGGAAAACGAGAAAGGGGAAAAAATCATAGAAAAGTGACAGGTGAAAAGACCCAACTAAACTGATTTTGATCCTTAACTCTTGGTTGTGTGTTCTGAAATATGCTTAATAAAGTGAGATGCTACTTTCAGACAGGGCGAATTAAATGTTGAGTTAAATAAAATGAAAGATTTTACTGTTAGTCTTTGTTAGCAAAATACTTTGAAAAACAGTGTTCACATTTGATTACTTTTAAAAGACGTTTGCCAGTATTTCATTAACTTCATTGATTATACGTAGTAATTGCAAGAGACTAAATTTTTGGCATAATAGTATTTACTCCATAGAATTATCTACAAATCATATCAGATAATTCTCCTGAAAAAAGTCATTTCTCCAGGCAACTCTGAAGCTATTATTAAGCATATTATGGATATACACAAGGTTTGGGTCATATCTTGGGCAGTGAAAGGTGTGTTTACCACTTGAGTCATCTTAGTATGTAATAAGTAATGAAAACTTACAGTGAAAAGATTGGCATCCTTCATTAGGGACCTACTGGTTTGTACAATTCATAATGTGTTAACAAGCAAGCTGGAGCGATAGGTTTGTCACCAATTACCTTGGTCCATTGATTAGCACATTGGAACATGTGGAATATTAACGTGTCCATGGTTGATACAAAATCCCTAGAGGTTCTGAGTAGTGTAGCGGGTAGAGTAGCAAACTACGATTTGGATATACTGTAAGTGAATTTAAAATGGCAACCCTGAGCTGTTTGGGGAACAGCAAAGGCGAGGGTATTAAGAAGTGGCTTTCAGCCTTTGAGGCCGTTCTTGAAATTAGATACCACTTCACACCTACTGAAAATAAATTAGAACCTATTATCAATGTCATAATATTCTTTCCTATGTCTCTGCTTAGCAACTTCTTTTCTAGCAGTTGGTTTTTTTCCTCTCATCTTTGGATCCATCCAATCACAAAAGTAGAAACTGACCTGCCATTGAATTAATCTAATAGACTATGCCACTGAGCAGCAACAAATCATGGCATAATTACTCTACACTGGATTAAAAACTGACAATCCTCATTAATCTAATTACACTGTAACCCAACACGTTGAAATTCGCCCACTCTCAGACCCCTCCCGACTGCTTTCAGGAAGGGAAATGTCAAAGGAACAAGAACACCAGAGCCTCGTACAGCTGCCTGCGAATTCCCGGGAACTGGCGGGGCCCTTCTCAGCCCATCTGATCTGTTCCGTACCGCGGGTCACATTCGGATTTCCAGCGTGGCTGGATGCTAGCTTTACCAAACGTTCGCAATAAGCTCAAAACGCGGTTCCGCAGATGTGATTGGCTGCGAAGGGACTCGGTAAAAGCTCCCGTTTTCTCCAAAGAGCCGGAGCCGCAGTCAGAGGCAGAGAGCAAGTAGGGTGACCTAAAACAAACAAAGTTGGAAGGAAGTTGAACCCAATCACATTAATTCAAGGATAAGCTAGAAGGCCGGTTCCTTTGTAATGTCACCAAGAGAGAGAGGCCTCCGCCTGTTTCTGTTGGGTTCGAGGAAACAGTAAATCGCATAAGCGGGTGGATGGGAGAAGAGAGGAGGTAGTGAGAGGGAGGCTGGGCCCGAGATCAGCAGACAGGACCCGCAGCGGGCGGACGCGGAACTCGAATTACACTGAGCAGGCAGGCGTCTGGAGGACCCGCGGGGGGCGGGCGCTTCGGGCTCTGCGAGTGGCGGGCTGGGTCCCACGGACCCGCGCTCTCAGCCAATGAGGCGGGAGGGCGGGGCGCGCGCTGGGTGTGGACGACGCGGATTGGTGACCTTCGGGTGGGCGGGGCGGCAGTGAGGGGCTGAGATTGATTGACCGCGGGGGCCGCGACGCAGAGATATCCGGGCGGCTGGCTGCTTTTAGCTAGGGCTGGGCGCGCCTCCTGTGAGTCCACGCCCGCGCTCCACGCCCGCAGGGCCCACGCTGGCCGGGGCCGGACGTCTGCGCACTTGGAGCCGGGGTCCGCACTCGCTCACGGTCTT